CAGCCCCCCAATACCCTGAACATCAGAAAAGGCAGCCCCCCAACACTTTGAACAGCAGGAAAGGCAGCCCCCCAACACCCTGAACATCAGGAAAGGCAGCCCTCCAACACCCTGAACATTAGGAAAGGCAGCCCCCCAACACCCTGAACAGGAAAGGCAGCCCCCAAACACCTTGAACAGCAGGAAAGGCAGCCCCCCAACACCCTGAACAGGAAAGGCAGCCCCCCAACCCCTTGAACAGCACCAGAACGTGCAGCCCCCCGAAGCCTGCTCCGTGACCCCTGGCGCGCGGGGAGCTGGCGCGGTGGCGGCTCCCCCAGGGCTGTTTCTGGAGGGCTGAGCTGGGAGGTGCGTCCGAGCAGGAAGGACCCCGTCCCCAAGCGAGCAGAGCACAGACCTGACTGTGGGCGCTGCCGCCACCCTGAGCCCGGGCCTGAGTGGAAACTACGGGGCCAGAGGGTGCGGCCTCCTGCAAGTCAGGCAGCAGAGGCCCTGGGCGGACGGGAAGCAGAGACCGTGGGCCTTCTGCAAAGGAGGAACAGAGACCAGCTTTCTCCCCGCCGTCCTCCTCCCCCTTGCGGGGTGTCTACGACGCAGTTCCTTAACGTGAGCTTTCCAAGTGCTCCCTAAACGCCCCGTTTACGTGACACGAGCCAGAACACAGAATGCAGTTCTCAGTTCCTGCCCCGAGAGCTTCAGTTCCCTCAGCGGCACTGCCCCTGCCTGCGGGGTGGGGGACAGGGCCAGATGCAGCACCATCGGCGGGCCTGCACCTCACTTATCCGTGGGAACACACCTGCTCAGGGTCGTCTTCAGTGTACGTTCTGGTGGCCACTGGAGACGCGTGTGAGCTCTGCCCCACCAGGTAGGAGCGGGCTCGGCCCCACCGGGTAAGAGTGATGTCCTAAATGTCCCCTTTCCTGTGCACAGCCTGTCTCATGAGTCCAGTTGTCGCACCTGAAGATTTCGCGCCGTGTAACCATCGAACGACCATCTATATCTTATATATAAGACATCCTGGTGTTTGGTTACAGCCTCTGCTTCCAGGGGAACCATGCGGCCCCCACACACGCTGTGCTTTCGAACTTTTAGAATTGACAGAAGAGGGAGACAGACCGGCAGACAGAGAAAGAATAAGTACAAGAAGCCGGGCCGGTGTGGCTCAGTGGCTGAGCCTTGTCCCGTGCACCAAGGGCTCACCGGTTCGATTCCCGGTCAGGGCACATGCTTGGGTTTCGAATTCAATCCCCAGTAGGGGGTGAGCAGGAGGCAGCTAAATGATGTCTCCATGTCTTCCTCCCCCTCCTCGCTCTGCAAATCGATAAAACTCACTGAGACGAGAAGAGGGACGAGGGGGCCTGCCGTGCAGTTTGCGTCTTCACTGCCACGCCTGGACAGGGTCACCTCCTCCCGCAGAAGGTGTGACGCGTGACCTCCCTTCGTCAGTCCAGCTGATAGAACTTTAACTTTTGGGGAAAGTCACTCAAAAACAACAATCACTTGGAATACTCAGGACCAGGAAATGACGGAAAGGTGGGGGTGCCCCGGCCACACGGAACCCTCGAAGCGTCTGCCTGGGCTGGACGTGAGCACGGCTCTGGTCCCGGGGGGCCCCGCCAGAGAGGCTCCCCCGTGGGGAGGCCCGGCTGTGGCCGGACAGTGAACAGAGTGTCCGGGCCTCTCCCTTCCCGCTCACCTTCTGCTCGCTCCAGCTCCAAGTTACGTTTTCTTCTCTCCCATCTTTGAAAACAAATGTGCACAGTCTGGCCCTAACGTTAGTGCTATTATCACGGACACCTAATGATGACACACGTTCGATGCTGGGCTGCGAATGAGTGAGCAGCCCAGCGCCTCCCCTGTGGCCTGCTGGCCACCAGCATGCCCCTCGACACGGGCCAACCCGGAGCCTCACCGACCCAGGGCCCGTGCGTGAGCCTGGGGACCTGCCAGCCAGGCTGGACCGGGTTGTGGCCAGAAAGGTCTGGGTGTCAGTCTGTCTGTCGCTTCTGATCCTGGAGACCTCGGGCAAGGGTTAATCCCGGGTTCAGATTCTGTCTGTCCACCACCACAGACAGAGGACGGAGTAATGGACAGAAAAGTGGGACCAGTGCTGAAACATATCACAGCGGGTCAAACTAAAGAGTGAAACCTCATGCTCTGACGGTTAGGGCCACACACACAAGAACCACAAAACTGGCCTCTTGGTTGGTCTGGTTTTGACAGGGTTCTGCCCCTGAAGGTCTGTCTCCACCCCCGCACCCCAGAAAGGGGGTTACATAGCCCAAAGGCGGTCATCGTGACCAGTGAATCAGGAGTCGAGTTCTCGGTGACTCGCTCGGGCGGCCTGAAGCCATCTCTGAGGGCAAGAGGGTCGCTGGACTGTCATCAGTGCCGTATCTTTTCTAGGATCTGCCCCGTTTCATCCTTTGAAAGGACTCATGTCCCTTTTCCTTCCCACCACTGCACAAGAACGAACACTCAGCCACGGACATTCCTGACGATGCTGTGGCCGGCGGAGCGCGTGGCTATGACAACAAGGCTTTCTGTTCCACTCCGAGACCTGACGAAACAGGCGGCGGAGGAACCTCAGCCCTCTCGCGGTCCCAGCCTCCACACACGCACAGTGGTGGGGAGGCACGGCCAGCTGCGCCCCGTCCTCCGTACCCGGCTTCAGCTCGCCTGAGGCGTCTACGCAGTGATTCTCGGCACCTCTGACTCCAGAGAAATCCAGGTGTCCTGAATCCCGGGGGTCCTGCTGGCGGAGTCCAGGGTTCTAGCGCACACCTCCCGGTGAAGCCCCAGCACAGGGTCCCCAGCCTCTCTGCCAGCCCATGACCTCTCGATCCCCGTCCCTGCCACCTGCAGAGTCCCCGATGGGACTCAGGAGACCCACAAGCACCTGCCGAGGTTACGTCATCTTCTTAAACTCACTACAGAGGCTCAGGAGCTCAGCCGGGCAAAGACCCCTTTGCTACCTGTCGAGAAGGAGACGGAGGCTCTGGCCAAGAGCTTCTGTTATCTGTTAATTCCTAATAGGGGGGAATTCCCAAAGGCCCACGCGAAACATGTCTAGAGTAAAAAAAAAGTTAAAAAAAGCCTTTTCTGATAGGAAAACACAAAAACGGAAAGAGAAAGGGAAAGGAGCTCCCTGTGAATAGCTCGGCTGCCTAGTTTTCGGACGTTGTTCTTCCGATGTCACAAGCGGAGCTCTGGCCAGCACACGCACCGGGGAGACACGAGGCCTCAGCAGCAGAGCCGCCCCGTCCTGGGGAGCAGCGCAGCCCGGCCGCTCCCCGCGGGTATTGCCGCCGAGACGGGCGGAAGTGGGACGTTCTTACCGGGAACGGAAGGGGAGGCTCCATGTTCGATCCGATCCTCTGCCGAGCACAGCACTGCGAAGAGCCAGGCTGCCATCCGGCAGGGCCCCCGCCCAGGACGGCCTCCCCCGCCTCACCCCTGCCCCTTCCTCTCTGGGCAAAAGAGCGCATCTGATGACAAGGGAGTCAGATCTGACCCCCGCCGCACCCACGCTGTGGGAGACAGAGCTGACTTCATGGTGACGACTGTCACTTGCCCCCACGCGCTGACTTGTCCACTGCGTTTAAAAACGTGTCATGTCTTTGGTTGCGGTATCAGCAGAGAAGACAAACGGTTCATCAGCCAGAGGTGGCAACGGTCAGTTACACCACGGGAGCAAGAAAACACGCTACACTCGGCGCCCTGAAGGTGACATGGGCTACTTCAGATGGCCCGAAACGCAAGGCCGAGGGACCTCCTGGGGAATTCCATTCCACGTAGAAGACAAGTACCACTTCGCACGAGCCCATCTCGCACGCTTACTGTGCCACGGGACCCGATTCACCACACACGCTTGCATTTTGTCACTTAAACAAACCGAATCAGCTGTCACGGTGATCAAGCACCAGGAAGCCCAAGGTTTCAGGGGACCTCTTCCTAAGCACACCTGAGACTGTCGCCACGAGGCAGCTTCGCCGAGCCGAGCTTCTGCTTGTACACAAAAGGGCTGCGCGACAGACTGGCCACGTAGCAGCCGCAGCGTAGGTCTTCCGGGAAATTTCTCTGGGAATTTTACCCCCAGAGGAAAGACCCTTCCCCGGAAACAGTGTGAGAGCTAACGGCACGGCCTCCAGGCTCACCCAGAACCGTCCAGAACTCGGCACCCTCACGCAGTCCGCAGTACAGCTGGTCAGGGAACGCCGGGAAGCCAACTCTGCTGTCCCCAGGGGACAAGCTGCCTGCCCCTCGCTGGCCGCCGGCCTCTCCCCCACTCGCATTGCTTCTCTCTTCCTGAGTGGACCAGCCTGCTCCGTGAGGAAGGGCCCTTGCTGGGGCCCGCACGGCACGGAGAAGCCGCTGCCTCGCAGAAATGCACTCGGGTGTCACAGAGTGGACACTGTTTGACAGTGGCTCTAGTGTGTCAGGGGCCCTGTGTGCTACCTAATTTGGTGCGGTGGCTTTTACGCAATCATTGTATTTGACAGTGTTTTGCCATTGCCGGCCAACCGCGTGGGGGGCAGGTAGCCTGCATTCTTTATTGATTGCAAGCTTATTTATTGCAAGGAACACCTCTGCGGGGGGTGGCGTCCAAACAGTCCTCCTATTTCTTTATATTTTCCAAAGAATGGGTGTTAGATACAAACCCCCAAACAGGCTGAAGACAATAAGAACTTGGAACATTCTGACCTACACCTGGCTGTGTGTATGTGTGTGTGTGTGGTTTGTCTTCCAGCCTACGAGTACCTAAGAAAATAGCATAGCTATTCGAGCTGGTCCGGTCTATGTGGCAGTCCCTCCCACTCTGGGGGTCTTGTTAGAATGCAGATCGAGCCCGGCAGGCCTGGGCAACCCGAGACTGCGTCTAGCCAGTTCCCAGGCCGCCGGCACGCGGACCACCCTCTGAGCGCAGAGGAGAAGCCAGGACTGGAGGGGTGGGTTCAGCCCGAGGGCGAGGTGGGCAGTGGGCTCATCCAGGTACTTACCCTGCATCTGACTCTGAGGCTGAGGGTTAAAGGCAGTGGAGTGGTTCAAGGAGGCCCGAGGGTTGGGTGTGGGGGCTGGGTGGTGTGGGCTGACCCTCATGGCTGTCCGCCGCAGCTGCTCCAGCTCACTGAGCCGCTCGGAAAAGGACAAGCTCCCAGGCTTGGTCTGATCGTCTAGTTTCTGACGATGTCCTATTGTGGGGAGGGGTGGGGAGGGGAGGGGAGGGAGGCAGGGAAGGAGGAGGGAAGAGATCAGAACATGTATTGTGGATTTTCTAGAACCTGGGGTTTTGTTGTCCTGCCCTCCCTCTCCCCTCACCCCCGGCGTGGAGTCACAGTGGGATCTGCGGTTGGGCTGGCTCCCAGGGGGATTCCCCCGGTGGGGATTCAGGGACGCTGTCCCCACTGTGGACTGGGGCCCTTCTGTCACATGGGCCGCGGGTGCTCCCCCAGCCTGGGCTCCATGCCCACCCCAACCCTCTGCACCCACGCCCACAGGGCAGAAGGAAGGGCGTTCGGGCCTGGTGGTGGAGGCGGCGGCAGGAGGGAGAACAGGCCTCGCTGCGGGCTCTCGGCCCCGCGCTGTGGGCTAAGCTGTGGTGGCCACGAGAGGTGCCCCCCCACGGCACGAGATCAGCAGCTCCTCACTGCACACCAACCACCGCAGGCTCCCCAGGCAGCGGGGCCCTGGAGCTCAGCGGCCACGCCCCTTCCACAGGAAATGGGGTGTGGCTGCAAACCCACAGACCCCGGGGGGCCAGGCTTCCAGTTAAATGCACAGCCTCACGGCCCCTCGCCCCACCGGCTCCCCCGCTCCTCGCAAGCGCTTCCTGAGAATTCTTCCTGCCCTGAGCCCACCAGCCAGGTGCGGCTCCCCGGAGGGAGCTGGCAGGAGGTGCACCCTGGGCCGCGGCCAGGCCGGCGCTCCCAGCAGGCCGGCCCCACCGAGCGCCGAGGATGCTGCCCGCAGATGGGGTGAGCGTCCCCAGTGGGCTCAGGAATCCAGCGTGGGCAGGGGCCCCTCAGGGTCTGTACAGACTCCTGGTCAAGAGCACCGGCACCGGGACATAGGGGGCAGAGCCACTGACACGGCCGGGCCAGGAGGGTGGACCTCCCGTCCCCTCCCTACGTCCCCCATCAGAATAGACACAAAGTGGAGGCTCAGGCTGCCAAGCAGACCTGATGCTCCATGTACCGGTACAGCCCGGGTGCCCTTTGGGGGGGCCTTCACCCCTGGGGTTCTGATCCAGTCACTGCCCGATGTCCCCCCCTCGCTGTCACGTGGCCTCGAAAGAAGACGGAAGCAGCAGCTTGCTTGGGGCCACACGCCCGATCCTCAGTCAAACGAGGGTCCCTGACCCCACACCCGCCGCCTGGGCCGAGAGAGGCAGTGGGAGGGCATTCTACCCGGCTCCCCACGGCTACAATCACAGAATTCAATTTTGCAGCTTGTGTGATGGTTCCGAACGTCCGAGGCCTGCCGCCCCTCCCGCTGCCAGGCCCCTTGGCACAGCGAACAGCGTCTCAAATTCCAGGGCAGAGAAAGGACCCACTATTAGTGCAGTGACTTTATCATGAGCAAGACTCGGTTGGCTCGGGAAGAAGGAAAAGTACTTAAGCATAATATTTGTGCAGCTCGAATGTAATGCTCCCTCTTTTCATGTGTCACCAAGGCAAATCTGGACTGTGATTCAGGCCCGCAGCCCAACGCCCGACCTGGACACACACAGCCTGAGTCACGCAACCCGGCACACATGTGAGCGCCAGTGACCAGCTGAGTATTTTGAGCACCAGCCTCATGGCGAGAGGCCATGGGGCCAGGTCCCGGAACAACCCCTGTCACTTCTCCCTCAGAAGTACAAAAATGTCTTTTTCTAGAACATTCTATTTCAGTCCATTATGGAGTCATTCAGCGTCTCTGGAAGGAGCTCTCCCTGACTTCTCCCTCCTCTTATCTGCATAACACCTCCTTGGCTTCCTGCTGCTCAGACTAAGGAAATCTGAAGTTTTCTTGCAGAAAACCCCGCAATCCCCACTCAAAAGCCACTCAGCATAGTAACCTAGCCCTTTGGTTTTATTTTAAATCCTCACCTGAGGATATTTTTCCATTTATCTTCAGATACAGTGGGGGGGTGGGGGGAGAAGGGGAGAGGGGAGAGAGAGACAGCGATGTGAGAGACACACGTTGATTGGCTGCCTCTCGCATGACCCGACTGGGCCCGGGGCCGAACCGCAACCGAGGTACGTGCCCTTGACCAGAATCGAACCTGCGACTCTTTGGTCTGCGGGCCGGCGCTCTCACCGCTGAGCCACACCAGCCAGGGCTAATCGAGCCCTTTTAAATGGCTACCAGGACCTACTGCCTGGTGTCAGGAGTCAAGGAGAGAAGGAGGCAGCTAATAAAAGAATTCTGGAGAATCTTGCCTTGGCAGGGATGCCGGCTGGCGAAGCAGTGTGTGCCCAATGCAAAACCTCACATTCCTTGGGCACCCAGTGGCGTCCTCGAAGAACACGTGCCCAGGTCCGCAGGTGGCCCCGCGGAATGTGCGGGAGACTGTTCTGCACACACGGCGTGCGGCCTTCCGAGGAAGGGCCGTCACCCGCGTCTGCCTCAGCCACCAAGCTCGAGGCCCACGCGCCACCAAGAAACCAAACACATCTGCCATTTCAGGTAAGTCACCCCTGTGGCCAGGCACAATGTGGGGTGATTTCTTCAGCAGTACCCTCTCACAGCCCTAGACTGAAAAAAAAGTTTTAACACGTGAGCCATGTCTCTACCAGCTGACACCTGCCCACGTCACAATCATTTACAGGGATTAAGTGACGACGGTGCCTCAGCAGGGACGTCTGGGCCGGCTCTCAGAGAAAACACCCCGTGCTCACAGCTCTTTCCCAGGCTGGGACCACGGGCGGACGCCAACATCGGAGCAGTGGGGCCAGGTCCTTCTGCAGCTGCCCACGCGTGACCCGGGAGTCGGAGCCCGGGCGCAGCTGTAAGCCACGGCTGGGAAATACAGAGCGTCAGCACAGCGCAGCGCGGTTATTCGCGAGCGAGGCTGAAGGAGCGCCCGGTCCAGCCGTCAGATCCCGTGCCGTGTGGGAGGCAGAAGCGACCCTGTAAACTTGTAAGCCGGGCGGAACGGATGCTCTCGATCGGGGTGCAATTCACCTGTCAGTTCGCCCCTTAAATTTTCAATACAGGAGAATGAAAAACGTCCACTATCAAATTAATTTTTTTTTTCTTTCTCACGGAGTATGGGGCTCCAGAGGCACTAGGAAACCCAGGCCCGGAGCAAACATCTGGTGGAATTACCACGCAGCCCCAAACCTGAGCACGCGGGCGGGTGGGCGGGCAGTCTGGCTTTCTGAGCCCGCTGGATGTCACTTGTGAATGTTTACATGGCAGTCCTTAAAATAGTGGCTGCCGCCCTGGCGGGTTTGGCTCAGCAGTTGGAGCACTGGCCCGAGGACCAGTGAATTGCGGGTTCGATTCCGGTCAAGGGCACGTACCTTGGTTGTGGTTCATCCCCGGCCCTGGTCGGGGTCGTGCGGGAGACAACCAGTCAATGTGTCTCTCTCACATGGATGTTTCTCTCTCTCCCCCTCCGCCCCCCCCACCCCACTGTATCTGAAGATAAATGAAAAAATATCTTCGGGTGAGGATTTAAAAATAAAACAAAAAAATAGTGGCTGCCTCCGGATTTCATCCTGAATCTCAGTGAAATCTGAGGCCAAGTTCAAAAGGACACTCAATTATGTTTCTTTTCAGATGTTATTACCATTTTCAGATTTTTGAAAAAGTACTTGATTAGAATTTTATTACATATGCTGTCCTGAAAGACAAACAGAAAAGAAATAAAGTCATCCCACCCACTAAATGTCCCTTTTTCATTCCAAAGGCATGTGCCCTGTGGTTTTGGGGTTGGCTGTCCCCCCGCACCTTCAGTGCTGTGACACTCGTGACGCACGAGCCCACTTTCGGTTTCTGGCTGCGGATGTGGGCCGCGCAGGCGAGCGGAGCTCACTGAACCCCAAGCCGGTTCTGCCCACAGACCACTGTCCACCTCCGAAATGAGGCACGTGACCTTCTACCGAAGAAAGCAGATAAGGCTAAAGGGTCACCTTTTCTTGGAAAATGTGGCTAGTGAGAGTGACTGTGGCCAGTGGTCAGCATGTTGGCCATGTTTCTGATGTGCGTTTACTGGCTTTCTTGGTAGAGTCTCAGCAGAAAAACTAGGAAGGTGGACACACAAAGTACTGTCATGATGAGAAATGGAGAAAAACCATGCAAAACAATACCAAACACATACCTATCTATATTTGTGTGTTTGTGTGTATATACATCTACATCTGTCTATCCATTCATCCACCTATCTATCCCATGCTTCAAAAGGATATATGTTTTGCAAAAGATGTCTACTAATCAATCTGATACCAATGGCACAGATCAAACATAAAACCTGGGATTTCCCTTTCCTTAGCTTGCTACTGCTTCATGACTGTGGGCAAGAACCTTAGTGTGCAGGGGACAGCTGATATTCCCTGTAGAACAGTGTCTTCTCCACGTTCCGGGGTCATGAAAGCCATTAGGACCTCAAGGCGACGGTACTGAATGTGACCCCTCTTGGAAGCACCTTGCTGGTGGTGAAATGAACCTTTCCGAGTGCAGACGTGACCACCTGCCAGCTAACTTAATGTGGGGCGCTACTGCCCACGTTATGTACTGTGAATATGTTACACATACAATGTATACAATGTAATACAAAACATATAGTATGTTAATGCATCACATACCAGAATGCACGTTTACATAGCATCTGATGTTATAGGAACAAAAGTAGCTTAACCCCCCAGCCTGAATATCTTCCCTATCATTAAACTGAGGGCACAGCACAAGGTTGGGGTGCTTCGGGACTGGAGGAGGGCTGGGGAAATCCGCCTGCTGCTTTAACGGATGAGTGGGAAGCAGAGTCGGGAGAAGTGACGTCATCAACTCATCAACACTCGGCCAGTGAGGAGGGCAGCCCTCCCTCCACCTCTCCCCACCTCATGCCAACGCACCTAGAAGCACCACGTTCTCGGAACCCCAGGCGAACAGAGGGGAGGCACGCGGTGGCCTGGTGGGCTTGGGGACCCCGGCACGCTCTGCCCCGGCCGTCCACTCTGTTCCATCGCGCGTAGGGGAGAAGAGC